ATAATAATAATAACAATAATAATAATAATAATATCGACCACACAATTTCTCCAAAGACCCTGGCAGAAGGAGCCTAACATTCCTGTGTGGGGGGCCTTTGGCAGTACGGTGAGGTCATGACCGGATCTCAGAATAATGTTTCTAAATGCATAAAATAACAAATAGGCTTATAAAAAGTATATTGAGATAGTTATCAAAATATGTTTTGAAAAATATAGTAAGATTTGTGTGCCTTTATTAGTGTCATATAGAAGATTTGGAGTACAGCCTGATAAACAACATAATTATGAGGCTGTGATCAGTGGGCGTGGCATTCTGAGATATTTGCAACAAGGGCGGTGTGATAGGAAAGTAATCTGTGATTTCTATTACTGTGCTTTGTGACCTGCACTCATGCCAAAAGGAAATTCGTTAGTGAGGGCTTAGTCCTGGCCGGAGAGCTCAGTTGGGTAGAGCATCGTCCCAATACACCAAAGTTGCAGGTTCAATCCCCAGTTAGGGCACATAAAAGAATCAACTAGTAAATGCTTAAATAAGTAGAACAAGTCAACATTTGCCTCTCTCACTCTCCCTCTCTAAAAATCAATAAATAAAAATAAATTAGTGAGGGGTAGTGTAACAAAAGATGTAACAATAGAACTCTTTCATGCTCTTCTTGAAACAGTGCTCATAACCCACCAGCTCAAATTCATACTAAAGTGCAAATGGTTGTCTTGGGCCCTTTCTTCATAGTAGATAGGACAGTGATGATAGTGAGATCAAACCGGAGGGCACTGAGCACTAAGAATAAAGATAAAGGGAAAATATGTGACACAAAGAAGGGGAACCCTCGCAAGTAGGGTAAGACCCTGTTAGCAAAAGCAAACATGTTTGATGTTACATAGGACTGGGCAGCAAGAAACTGTTGCCTGCAGTTTTTCTGCTTCCTGGAGGTCTGGCTCTGTGCTTTCCAGAATCAAACAGTGGGTTTGGCCCTTTAAGTTCACTGAGGCTTCCCCTGATTGCTCATTAAATGTAACCATTCAGCCCTAGTGATTTGATTGAATTCACAACAGTCCTTGAAGGAGGCTACAGATCAAAAGGTTCTCAAAGAGTGCTTTGAAGGAGGCTGACCCCAGTCCCCACTGCTCAGAGCGGGTGTGCCTGACCCCTGTTCTAGAAGGGCAGGGCCCTCCCGGCGGGCACCGCTGACTCACAGAGAAAAATAACCATGAGGGCTGTGTCACAGACGCCACCTGAATTTGTCATCGCTGTTGGTTCTTTGCCTTTAGAGACATGGGAAATGGGCCAGTCGTTCCCTTTCCAAGACGAGAGCTCGGGATAGAACACTCTGTTCAATAAAGACAGCGAAGATGAGAATGACACCAAGCCTACAGAGGTGAAGGGAAAAATCAGATCAAGGCAGAAAGGAGCGTGGAAGGGACCAGCACACAGGAGCACAGAACACACACAGATATAATAAGACTGGGAGGGAACCCTGGCCAGTGTGGCTCAGTGGACTGAGTGCCGGCCTGCAAACCGGAGGGTCGCTGGTTCGATTCCCAGTCAGGGCACATGCCTGGGTTGCGGGCCAAGTCCCCAGTGGGGAGGCTTGTGAGAGACAACCACACATTGATGTTTCTCTCCCTCTCTTTCTCCCTCCCTTCCCCTCTCTCTAAAAATAAATAAATAAAATCTTTAAAAAAAAAGATGAAAGGGAAAAACAGGCTGGGAAGGCTGGATAAAGAGCGAGAAACCCCAACCCTCACCAAACCCTTCAAAGGAAAGCTCATCCCGCTGCTGATCCTGCTCAGCGTGGAAAGTACGCCACCACCAGATGGAGAGTTTGGGCAACCACTGCAGCGTTTGTAATTCAGAAAGCCCTCCCATTCCTGTCCAGGGGCTGGAAGTCTCTGTTCCTCCCTTGTTAAAGGAGAAAATCCGCTCCTTCTTCCTGCAAGCAGCTAGTGTCGAAATCCCTCTTCTCAGAGACCGCAGTCATCCAAGGTTGCAGAGCGACACCCTTCAGGCCCCTTTACACCTAAAGCCGTTTCCGGTCCCGATGCCTTTTCACGACCATCGGCAGCACCGGTACCTGTCTCCGCGTTTCCCTGCAGGTGAGCCAGCGGAGGCGTGGCTCACTGTGGGGGGGCACGGAGCCACACTCAGACATGCCAACACCCGATAGGATGGAGAGAGAAGGACGTCCTCCACAATACTTTGTTTTAAGAAGATTTTATTTATTTTTATTTTTAGAGAGAGGGGAAGGGAAGGAGAGAAATATTGATGTGTGGTTGCCTCTCATGTGCCCCTACTGGGGACCTGGCCTGCAACCCAGGCATGTGCCCTGACTGGGAATTGAACTAGCAACCTTTTGGTTCTCAGCCCATGCTCAATCCACTGAGCTACACCAGCCAGGGCCTCCATGACACTTTTTACAAAAGAGAAAATAATGCCAGCATCCATCAGGAGACTGGACAAGTCAGTTGTGGTCCATCAGTCGCAATGAAACATGGGACTCTGCATGGTTACAAAAGAACAAAGCTCTCATCCACTGAGATGAGAAGATCTCCAAAATATTTTCTTTCTTTTTTGTTTAAACCTCACTGAGGTTATGTTTCTTAATTTTAGAGAGAGATGAAGGGCTGGGGGAAGGAGAGAAGCATCAATTTGAGAGAGAAACATCGATCGATTGCCTCTCCTGTGCCCCCCAACCAGGGATCGAACCTGCAACCTAGGTATGTGCCCTGACTGGGGATCAAACCCACAACCTTTGTTTTGTTGGTGTACAGGACGTCGCTTCAACCAACTGACCCACCCAGCCAAGGCTCCAAAGTATTTTCCTAAATGAAATAATAGCAAATAATGGCAAGGTGCCGAACAGTGTTTATAGTATGCTGCCTTCCACGCAAGAAAGGGTATAAACTAGAATGCTATTTAGATTGGCTTGCCTTTGCATAAAGGAACACAGAAAAGATTTATTTGAGTGGTTGCAGGCCAGTGAGCAATGGAGTAGATTTTCACTGTGAACCTCCAGTTAATTTAATTTTTCAACTGCGTGGATTCAGAATCATCATAAAATACAATAGTAACACAAAGCTCTATAAAAGAAGTGTCATTTCCATTATATAGATCAACGGTTGAAAAATAATGATAATAATGTTTTGTAACCTCGAGTAGACCCCACTGCACTGCACGGTGCTGTGAAAAGCCAACCACGCATCCCACAAACATGAATCCACAGCACGCCTCGATTCGCCAAGTACCGCGTGACACCACCTCGCTCTCCGGTGAGAAACCTCTCCTCCTAATCTCGCCACAAGCCACCACGGTTCCGGGCCAGCCCTGGCTCAGACCTCACGGCCACACAGGCAGCTGTGACTCAGCCATGGGCTCCCACCCTGCACAGTGGGGCACCTGCTTTCTGCTTGTCCAGGCTCCTGGTGGTCGACGGGCCCTTAGGGACTGTCCCGAGGGCCTGGCCCCTGCAGGAAGCCGGACTCCACAGCCCCTCTGGGCTCTGCCCACTGAAAACCACCACCGCAAATCACAGCACAGGGGAGCGCGGTCAGCAATATTGTGATGCCTAGGTACGGTGCCAGGTGGGTGCCAGACGTATGGGGGGGGTCACTTCGTAAGTTACGTAAATGTCTAACCACTACGCTGTACCCCTGAAACTAACACAACGGCGACTGCCCACCGTCATGGAAAATTAAAACTAATAAATGGATACACTTAAACAGAGGTCCCCATGATCCTGATTAAAAACAGCAAGAACCAAAAAACCTGCCACCTCCGCGGCTCGGCTCGCCCAGGGCGGCCCCCAGGGCCCGGCCCCCAGGCTGGCGGGGGGGGGGTGGATTCTGCAGGCTGGTCCGGGCTGTCTCCCGCCCTCCCAGCCACCGGCGGCCACGCGCCCAGGCCATCAGCCGCACGTGCTCACCATGGCAACGCTCCGGCCTCTTTTCAGAAACCCTCCTTTCTCCTCGCTTCATACTATTCAGAGGAGGCCCTAGCCAAGCGATCAATTCAAAGGCACTCATTAAATACCTTTTCCAAACTGAAAACACGGCTAATGAGGCGCTGTTAGGGGCGCGGATGGGAAGTTGTGCTTCCGTGAGACACACGCGGAACGAGGCGGAGCGTTCGGCGGGAGAGAAAGGCTCGCCAGGCACCCGGGACGGGAAGGTCGGCTGGGTGGCCCCTGTGAGCCCCGACGCAAAGGCCGAGGTTTTGGGGGGCGGGGCACACGTTTGCGGGGGGCGGGGCGCCCTGAATCGCTCTCACTGCTTCATCCTCGCCCTCCAGGAGCTCTGGCTGCGGGGCTGTTCACTGTGCTTTTTCAAAGAGAGACATTGGAGGCATTTAAGGCGAAGCGCCCTGTGAGTTTCCGGAATCAGAAAGGTCTCCAGCGGGTTGAAATCGGGCCTTCCCGGCCGGGACACGGAGCGGGGACCTCGTGAGACAGAAAGGCCAGTGGGTCCTGCGGATGCTGAGGCTGTGTCCGCTCCACTGGGGAGCGAGCACCAGGCATGGCGCTCATCCCCTCGCGGCTCTCATTCCAGTTTCACATTGTGCAGCTGCCACTGGATGGCACTCAGAGCCACACTGTCCCCTAAAATGTCACTGCCGCCCAGCTGGACAGTGAGGCTTGGTTAGGGGGTCCAGAGCATCTGACTTGAGGTTAGAAATTACCAAACAATATACATTACTTCCAAAGCTTAGCGGCCCCTGATGGGAGGGAACATGAGATTTGGGGAGGGGAGGGTCTTCTTAATCCTAAAAGCCGGGGCCTGTGAAAAAATAGCTTGGCTAGAAAGATAGGATCCTTGTTTTCTTAGTAATTATAAGAGCGTCCATTAGGACTGCTAATTGCACAGACATGGCCATTTCCCAGGGAAAATTACGGCCATTTAAAGGTGACTACCGTCGGTCCAGTCCGACAGCTTCATCCGAGGTCACTCATCACACGCACACGCCGCCCCGCCCCCGGACACGCAGGACCACCCCCGCTTACTCACCGAGACCGCCCTGACAGATGTCTGTGCGTGTGGCTCCACCAACGATAAACCGGGGGCTGGGGCACAACTCCTGGAAGCAATTTGGGACAAAATGCAAGTCGTGAGAGATCCAGGGGTGGTGGCCACGGGGGTGAAGACCGTGTTAGGGTCACCGAAGTCAGAGCCCAAAGCAGCCGCGGGGCTCACCGAGCGTGTGCCCTTCGAGTTACTGCTGAAGGCTCTCCTCCCGCCACTCCTGCAGCCTCACGCGCCCTTGACTTTCTCCTCGCCACTCCAGAGGCCCCTTCTCAGTCCCCTCCGAGGGCTCCTCCCCTCGGTTCACCCCTAAGGGTCAGGGGACCCCTGGCCGGGTCCTCAGCCCCCTGTGGCGATCCCGCTCCATCCAGCCACGGCCTGCCCTAAGCATTCTCTCCTGGGGACATCACCCACCCCGTGGCCGCAACTCCTAACGATGGGACGGGCTGACACTCCCCAAACCGCTCCCTGGAGCTGCACAGTCAGCGACCCACGTCACGCCGATCGTGTGACATCAGCTCGTTAAGACTCACGTCCCGTAAGTCTACCAAGTTCTGCTAAAATTCCAGGTTCCATGTGGAAGACAGAGCAGTTTGCAAAGGCCAGAAACGTGCGTGTCAGGGGTTACAGCCAGAACGGCACTAAGAGGATTGTAAGTCGATGGGAGGTCCATTTTACCACGTGTTATTTTTAGCATAAGTCAACACGCACCCCCTCCCCCCAGGAAAAAACCGCGGTGACTAAGGTCGTGAATCTCTCGGGGGCCACCCAGCGTCCTGCCGCCTCAGGAGACGGCATCGCAGCCTTGCGCCTGAGAACATTCCCCAAGGGTCTCCTCTGTGTGGCTAGACTTTGTGGCCGCTCAGACCAGAGATACAAAGTAATAGTCTGGCAGGCACAGAGGTTTGAAAGAGGCTGGCAGGTCCCCTCCCCCACCTGCCCACACTCGGGGCACCATTTTTGTCCTTTTGAGTAACAACCTGGTCTCTGCAGCGGTGACGGGGACTGTGACTCGGGCAGGGTCACCGCGCACGTTGCTCGAGCCTTGCTTGTCCCCCTCTGAGGAATGGGTTCAGGGGAAACGGGCATCAGCAGGAGTCCAAGGCAGGGGGTGACTTCAACTGCATATTCTCGGTGACAATGGCAACTTGGAAGCACGCCCCCCAGGGGCATCAGACCGGAACTGACAGCCCACGCAGGGCGTTTCGGGAGCTCGGGCTGTGCACATTCAGGAGACCCGGGGCTGCCACCGCCTCCTCCGTCATCGCCAGGGAGGTGGCCACAGACTCAGCCCAGCGCTGAGCAGGTCACCTCCACCCTCATCGCCGAGCTGCGGAGGGAGATCCTGTCCCTGAGCCTCAGTCACTTGATGGGGACCCCCTGGTGGTAGGTCATGGACGTAGGTTTTGGGAGGATGGCTCTCCACTCTTTGCCCTTGAGTTTGGGGCGGGACCAGTGACCGCATCCAAGAGCCCCTGAGTTCCGTCTGTGTTCAAAGACCCACAGCTCCACCCGCTGCCACTCACCAGCCCAGGTGGGACAATGACACATTTCATGACCTTAAGCAACCCTGCACCTTTCTGCGTCGATGTCGCCATTTACACTGAGCATCGACTGGCTCCGTGTGCGCTGGCCCAGGGGCCTGTACACACACCACCATGCCATCCGTGCCTGATGCGGCCAGGCACTGTGCTCTGAGCTTTATCTCCAGGCCTCATATCAACCCTGAGAAATAAGGTGCCAGTGGCACCCTTTCACAGATGAGAAAACTGAGGCCCGCAGAGGCGAGCTGACCAAGACCACCGGGGCAGAGCCAGGATTCAAATCGAACTGGCCTGGTCCCAAAGCCCATGCATTCTCTTCCCTCCAACCTCAGTGCCTCCGGAAGAGATTTGTAATGGGACAGAGGTGTTCCGAAACACGGGGTCCAGGAATTTAGGGCCCAGAGCCACGCCTTCCCCCTCAACTTCTTCCGGCCACAAGCGAGGGCCCTCCATCCTGTCCTAACACTGGACAACGAGGTTGTCTCCTTACCGGGGGCCGCTTCCAGACAATGCCTTGAATTTGGGGGGAGCAGGGTCCAAGGTCCTTGTAGCCCAAGGCTGACGGGCAGGCAGGGAACTCTGGGTCCTTAAACAGGACCCCCGAGTCCAAGCACTGCTGCCTGAGGGTCTCGAAGTCCTGGCCCAGGTACTTCACGGCGTTCTGGTTGGAGCCCAGGCCTTCGGCGGCCGCCCGCTGCTTGGAGACGCGGGCCGCCGGGGCTGCCATGGCCGTGGGTGCCCGTGGAGAGGACGGGAGGGCAGGGTTGCTTGTTGCTCTCCGAACCCCAGGGTTGTGGGGTATGGGCCCCGCTGGGAGGGGAGCTATAAGGCAGGGTGGAGGGCAGGTGGAGCCGGTAAACTCTTCACCTGAGGCCCTGCTCCACAGGGAAGTGAGTCAGGGCCAGGAGCAAATATGTACCCAAGGTGCGAACGAACCGGCCCCGCCTTCCCTGCCTGCCTTTCAGCAGGCGATTTGGAGGCGGGGAGACTTCCAGGTTCCCTCCCAGGCCATCAACCTCAGAAATTCATTAGGATCTCAGCTGCCCCCCACCTCCACCCCTGCAAGACCTGCCTGCCTCCCCTTGGGCCCGAGGGCTGAGAAACCAACCGCCTACAGGGCGAGGCGAGGATTCACCGAGGCTTTGTGGGGCTCCTTTCTTTCCAGACAAGTCTGGCTCCGTGTCTGCGCAGTAGATAAAGGTGCCGGATGGGGGTGATTCTCGGAGTGGATCAGAGCAAACCCACTGGGCGCCGTTCCGGCCACACACGAGCTTCTGGCCTCTGCCTGCGCTTCCGTCCCAGCTCCACCAGCAATTAGCTCTGCCACCCCCGGCGAGTAGTTTAACCCACTCCCCTTCATCTTCTCATCTGTAACACGGGAGATAATAGCAGGACCCACCTCGCAAGCTCGTTTGGGAGAGCGATGCGGCAGGAGATGTCATTGTACAGAAGACGCGCTCGGTACAGGTCAGCTGCCCCTCACTCCTGGGAACCCGGGCTCTTAGGTTCCAATCTCAGGAGGGAGTCACGGGCTCCGTGATCTCGTATGGACCCCTTCTTTTGTGGCTCCAGTCCCCTAGGCCCGGTCTACCCCAAGTACCCCAAGCCGTGGGCCACATCAGTGATTTTTCTTTTAATTTGTTGCTCCTCCCACTTACACATTAATTGGTTGATGCGTATATGTGCCCTGACCGGGGATCAAACCCACAACCTCGGTACACAGGGATGACTCTCCAACCAACTGAGCTACCGGGCCAGGGCCGACACATTAGTGGCTTTTGAACCTGATGTGTGGCCAGCTGGAAAGGGGTCCCCCAGAGGTACTGAGTCCTAATCTCTGGAACCCGTAAGTAATGCTTCCTTTGGAAAAGGACCTCTGCAGACAAAATTGGCCCAAGGAAGGCCAGCAGCCACCAGAAGGACCCTCCCCTAGAGCGGCAGGAGAGGGCGGGGTGTCACCCACACCTTGGTCTTTGCATTTCTGGGCTCCAAAACTGTGAGAATGCATTTGTGGCGTTGGGAGCCGCCAGGTCAGGGATCCTTTCTTGCCGAAGCCACAGGGAGCGAGCACAGTGCGCCTAAGACGCCCTTGCTGAAGGCGCTGGTTCTCTGAGTTCCTGGTGCTGTCCCCGCTCCCAAAGGAGGTCTGACTCAGGGGGTCTGGGGGAAGGCCACAGCTTTTAAACCATTATCCCGGAGGTAAAGCCCGTGCGGGGGCGGGGGGGGGGCAGCCCACAGCCCCGCCCGCGTCAGCCAATGACAGTGTCGAGGTGGGAAGCTCAGCTGGGGGGGCCGATCTGGGCAGGCACGCAGCGGGGTCTGCTGTCCCCATGCCCAGGGTAAAACCGGGTTTCTCAGGTCGCATGAGGCTGAAGCACGCATGTATCAGAGGACCGGGCTACGGCCCTGGCGCCTCAGGGCACCCCAGCTCCGCACCACTGCCCCTTGCTGTAGTCTCTGCCCTGTCCACAGCTGCACTCTCACCGCCCCCAGAGCGGACCCTGGTCTCACTTGGGCGGCCCCCTTCTCCTTTAAAACCAGAAACTCGGCACCCTTCAGGGAGCACAGTGGATTCCAGGAGGAACCCGGCAACGCTGGGGGAAAGGAACGGGCATGTGTTTCTACCTTGGGATCTGCCACCTAATTCCCTGAGGCTTGGGATTGGCGCCCGGGAACCACGTTTCTCCACCCAGAGTGGTCATTTCAAACACAAATCTGGCTGTGTCGTGGTGGGGGCGGGGGGGCGATGGAAGAGGGGATGGGGGATAAATGGTAGTGGAAAATTACAGTTTAAAAAATCTGACCCTGTTGCTTCTATTCTTCAAACCCCCAGGGCCGACCGCTGCTCTTAGGAAACGCACAGGGAGGGGTCTGCAAGGACCCTAAGCACCAAAGGGGACCAGCCCCCGCCACCCTCCCCGCCTCCTCCGCCACGCTCCTCCCTCTCTGCTGTCCATCTCCTGGCTGTCCTTCGGGCCCTAGAATGCGGATCTCTGTCCCATTCAGGGCCTTGCATCTGCTGTGCCCTCTGCCAGAAATGCTCTTCTCCCCACCCCCACCCCATCCCCCCTCATCCTTCAGACCCCAAGTGCCTCCCCCAAGGCTTTCTGGGCCCCTGCATGAAGTCACCAGCCTCCTACCATTATCCCGAGATAATGCGCCCACAGCAGCCTGCCACGCCCAGCCCAGCAGCGATTTAGGTAATGTCCCTCCACCCCACCGGCCTCTGAGCTCTGCAAGGATGGCTCATCGCTGCATCGCGGGGGCCTCGAAAGCTCCAGGAATGCAGTAAAGACTGAATAAATATTTGTGGAATGAGTGAGCACCCACAGGTCTGAGACGCCCAGTGGCTGGATATGGGCACCCCGGGTAAATGGGCCTGACACCACCAGGCGGGGCCATTAGTTCATTGGCAAAGAGCGCCTGGGATGTTTCCCCTGCCTCTGTTTCTCCCTGTGCCTCCCGGACGTCCCCTCAGGCTAACATGAACCGGCCCTCCCTCCGTCCAATCTCAGAGGGACCCCTCCAGATTCCATCTCCCTTCCCACCCCACCTGCCTGAATATCCTCGCCCCTCACCACCAGACGCTGCGCAGACAAACCTCCCTCACCTAGGCAGGTGGGTCTGAGCCGTGCAAATACAGCCGTCATTTCCCACGTCACGGAGAGCGATGCCGGTGGAGGCCGGACCGGTCTCCGCTCCCTGGGCCCCTCCTGAGCCGAGGCGAGCGTCTCCCTGTCACCCAGCCGGGCACCCTGAAGGAATCAGCCTGCGCCCACTGGCTCTGCCAACCCGGACAGAGGTCCCCCCAGCTTCACGCCCCAGACACCCGTGGAGCCAACACCAGCTCCACGAGAAGCCCAGGATCCATGGCAGCGGCGGAGGAGGCCAGGCACCAGGCAGAAACACCCCAGAGGCCGCCAACTGCACACAACAAGGGTGCTCTGGCAGCCAGCGCGGGCGAACGAGACTCCCTTCCAAACGCCCACCAGCTAAGCTTCATCCACCGCCGCCTTCCCCCCTGCAGCCGCAAGCACCGAGGCCTCACTGGCTCCTCGGCCAGGACGACAGGTCGGCCAGAGGCCCAAGCGTGCGTGTCAGGCCGTGAGACTCTGCAGGGCTCGTGGCTGCGCGTAACTATGACTTGGGGAGAGGGTGAGAGAAAGCGGGCAGCGGCGTTCTCACCCCCGCGCCTCCCCATTCCGGAATTCTAAGGCAAGCGGGGGACGCGCCCGAAGGCGAGGGCGCTGCAGCATTCTCACGCATCGCCGGTGGGAAGGGAAGACCGTGCAGCAGCACTGGAAAACGTCCTGGCAGCTCCTCACACTGTATCTCCACGTGACATTCCACTCCGGGGGTTGAAAGACTTGAACGTGCAAGCCCACACAAAACCTTGTTCTCAAAGCCTCCTAACGGCATCATTCGCAACAGCCAAAAAGGTGGAAACAACCCAAATGCCCATCCGTGGGTGGCTGGATAAACCAAAGGGGGCGTGGCCGTGCAATGGAATATTATACAGCCATGAAAAGGAATGGGGTGCTGGTTCGCACCACAACACGGATGAAGCCCAGAAACATTATGCCCCAGGAAAGAAGCCAGTTACCAAGGGTCTCACGCTGTGTGGTTCCAGGTGGAGGGAACATCCGGAAGAAGGAAATCCATCAACACACATGGAAAAAGGAACGATCAACACAAAGGTCAGAATAGTCATCTTTTCCATCGTGGAGAGAGGTGGATGGGGTGGGAGAGGGTACAAGAGATGCACGTTTTAGGTGATGGTTTCACTCCTGGACGGGGGTGGGGGGGTGGATACACGGTGGGGGGGGCTTCATTACACTATTAATAATAAATTCAGGAAATCAAAGAGAGCCATGCATGGACTAATGATGAGAAAGTGTCATGAACCAAGGGCTATAATTAATCCAATTTTGAACTTCAACAGTGAGGGGGGAAATTCCCGCGTCAGGCAGACGGGGGGTGATAGTTACAGGCTGGGGGGAGACAGTTACGGGCTGAGGACCCTGCCCAGAGACGCCAGAATGCCCCATAGGTGGTGCCGCCACAGAGCCGGGAGTCGAATCAGATGGGAGGGGGGTGCCCACAGTCCCCGGGTCACCTCTGCCGGCCATGCAGACCCAGGGAACAGCCACGTTCCTCATCCCCAGCTGCCCCGTCACGAGGACAAAGAGAACCCTGAGTGCCCCCCTGGGCCGTCAGAGGGAAGGCAAAGGAAGAAGAGCTCACAGGTTCTGTTACTTCCAGTTCCCTGCAAACGCCAGAGGAAGGGCTCAAGCTGACCTGGAACACCCAGGGGTTAGTTACTGGGACTCATCGCAGCAATTCCTCAAGGTTGATTACAAAACGTTAACGGAGAGTGTTCCCATAGTTACTGTTTGAACACATGTCCTGTCCGGGGTTTCTCTGAAACCTCTGGGAAGTCACTTCTCTCCATCCCCCAAACCTCGCTTGGCTTCAGCGCCGTTCTTTGTGCCTCCTACCCCGGGTCAACAATGGCATTCACCTTCCAAATTTCTCAACTCCTTGCGATCGCCGGTCAGATTCTGCCTCAGGAAGTACTGCAATGCCCCTTAAAGACGGCATTCCCACTCAGTGGCACAACACCATGACCTTCACCCTGCCTCCCCTGCCCCAGCCCCAGCCCCGTCACCATAGCAACCCTGCCCGCCCATGTTCCTCCCTGCAGAATGGTGAGAAACGTCCCCAAACCCGCCCAATCCGCCCGACCCCCGCTCCCTCCAACAGAAAAGATGGTCACCCTGCCCTCTTTCTACTTGGCCATGACTCGTCTCCCCGGGTTAATGTCACACGTCACTCCTCTAGAAGGGTTCCTGAGCTAAAGGCCGTCCCACACATCACATCACATCGCATCATAATCACTGGTCTGCTTCCTGGTTGCGTCATCTCCTTCATTCTTCCCATTAGCGTTGACTTTTCTTGCAGGCAAGACTGCCTTTCCCGCCGCTGTGTCTCTGTCCCCCCATTATCTCAACCCCCTTTCCTGTGGCCCGCCCACGGACGCCTGAGACATAACACACGTTCACGTCTGACGCATGAATAACTAGCTAAAGGTGCACGTTAGAGTCGGGCTTTATCTCTTGCCTTCTTGGACTGGCAAGAGACAGAGTATAATGAAGCCCAAGGAGGGTAGGATTATAAGAATTTAAGCATCGGTGTATCCTGAGGACTCTTCTTTCACGCTCCCCGCGGAAGGTAAGGGCGGGGGGGGCTTTGTGGGTACCGCGCATGCGCCCACGCACACGCTCCAAACCTCAAGCCCAGCGCTGAGCTCTTTACTTACACAAGCTTCGGTTTCAGCAACAGCCCTGTGCATCAGCAACTGTCGCCAACCCGCGTCTCTCCGGTCCCAAAGCTGAGCTTCATCACACATTTCCTAAGTAGTAGAACTAGGGTTGGAACCCAGGTTTATCTTACCTGAAAGCCGCTGTTGTTATTCGAGAGACCATATTGACACAGTTTAAAGAGTCACCGAATGACAACTTGGAAACGTGCAGAATGCACCCTGGGAGCTGAGCGCCCAGGAGGTTGCTTTCTTGTCACAGACAGACCCCCACGGGGCCACTGGATTCCCGCCGCTAGCCCCAGGCGAGACACTCCCACAGCGGCAGGTAGCCCGGACGGGAGCACCACAGAGAGCCCCTGCCCCTCCCTGCGGCCGTGACCCAGTGACCCGGATGTTGCTTCTCAGACCAGCTGAGATTCTAGCGAGCTGACATTAGAGCTGCAAACAGCAACAGTCACGGGCAGGGTATCAAAGCCCCGCAGGCCCGGCTCCAGCAACTTGTGGTCTCTGCTGCCCCCTAGCGCCCTGCTTCGTCCCAACAGGCCTTGTGGATTCAAATAGAGCCAAGTGTCTGCGTAGTAACCGCTCTTTTCCTGCTTTGCTCCCCAGAGGGTGGCTGCTAGCTGGTTTTTCTGAAAACACGTATAAAGTTTTCAACACACACAAAAAATGTATGACTAGGGCATTCTGAAAATGGATAAAGGAAAAGAGTCGTGCGTGTATCCCGCCTTTCCTGCGAGGACTGCATTTCAGGGTCCATAGTGGACAAGGCCATGCTTTACTTTAGAAGAACAGCAGCCAGTAGGAAAACAAGTGATGGAATTAGAAGTCGCCATTTTTCCACCCTGAATGATGAAACTATTGGGTTAATAGCTGATAAGGAACTTTGTAATGAGTCGATCAGGCTGACAGCACCTGAACACACTGACGAATCTGTACATCACAAGAAATGGGAGTTGTTGCTTCCTTACCTGAGGCAAGCGGACCTACAACACAGGTCCACCGGTGGAGGCTTCTATCCCGTCTCCAAAGATGAACCGGGATTGAATCAAGCGTCCAGATCTCACTGCCTTTTGGGGGGAAAAAAAATAAAAGGGTAAACAGGGTTTTCCAATGCCTATACTATCAGCATTTTGGACCCACTAACTCTTTGCTGGGGAGGGCAGGGCTGTTCTGTGCATTATGGGATGTTCCACAGCCTCCCTGGTCCCCACTTACTAGGTGTCAGTGGTGCGTCTGCCGTCGTGACAGCCAAAAATCTCCAGCCCTTACCAAGTGTCCACTGAGGGGCAAAACCGCCCCCTGTGAAATGCCACTGGGTTAGAGACCCGTGTCCAGTGACACCATGAGGAGACAGTCAGCCAGCTGAGGGCTGACAGGAGCAGGGGTATGAAGACACTGTGGCCGACCTAGGATGGTCCCACAGGTCATGGGTGGTCCGGAGCGCCCCAGGGATAGGCCAAAATTTGGTCACAGCCACACTGCTTTGCAGCCTCCCACTTCCAGTCAGAGACATGGGTCCCTAGTAAACACTCTGCACAGCCGACTCCTTCTCAGCGTCTCCTTCCGGAGGGGCCGGCAGCCAGCACTTGCTCAGTCTGATGTCCCGCTGTCACCACCGAGAAAGTATATGGTCCGATGGCCCCGCATGGAATTTGCAGAAATGTGAGCCCGAAAACTCTTACAATCGTTCATCATACCAAATTAATAAACAGTATTATTCATTGTATTATATAAAATTATGACACTAAAACCGGTAATTTTTTGCAATTCAAAAGTTTATGTTGTTTCTCATGTGCCACTATTACCCTTATTACATTTTATAAGAAAAAATATTTTTAAATTTAAAAACTTTCTATTTTAAAAGGGCACTTTCCCCCTGAGTTTTGATGAATGTGGCCACATTGTCCTTTTACACTGAAGCCTGAAATTCTACAGCTGGCCTGCAGGGGGCGATCATGGACCACTAACTCGGTTCTCCATAGGAGTGAGAAGACAGAAGTCTTACTGCAATCTACTATTGGGTATTTACACCTTAATGTGAATGAATTTTAGATCCTTTTATGAAATAAGGTCTTAAAATGTGTAAGAAGAGATGCCAGGGGTCCTGTAAGCATGGAAAACAGATCGAAGACCATTAAGAGGGGAAGGGGGGAGGGGGGAACCAATGGCCTAAAGATAAACTCCAAGTTTTACCCAGAATTACGTTTTGTTAGAATCTTGTTCCTGACACGAACGTGAACAACACACACGGCCCAGCTATTAAAAGGTAAAGGTTAGATGTCATTTATTTGATCCATAAAAAAAATCTCCCTCACTGCCAGGAGTACACTAGGAACCACGTACAAAGTTAAACAGTCAGGAGCACCACTCAACCTCTGGTTTGAGTCCGGCCTCGATGGTCCGGCTCCAGCGATTCGGAACTGCCTCTCACTACCTGGGGTCCTCCAGAGGGGTAGGTGCCAATGTCTCAGAGCTCCGAGCTGAGAAAAACACCTGGAGTTCATGAAAACGTGCCGATACCGTCATTTTCCACGTGGGGTGAGAAGAACTAATGTGTCGTTGGGGTGTTAGCACAAGGCTCGTGAAACACGCCGCTGGTAAAGTGAATGCTCACCTCCTGGGAGAGTATCAGCGGTCAAACTTCTTCTTTTACGTTCTGTTACTTGTATATGTGATATTCTACGTATACAGCCATCTCGTGCAAAAAAGCGAAGACTTGTCAGTAAAACTCTTGCTAAGGGGAGCGGAATAAACCGAACTAGTCTCTCTTCTAAGCAGACTGCAGACTCAGGACCTCCTGGAGAGGGGGGAAAGAAGAACAAAACCCAAGAAACTTTGCCGATGGCATTTGGAGAATATACTATACTCAGTTAAGACGCAAAAAGTCTATAAACAAAGGTGGAACCCTGGTGAGTTGCTCTCATCTTCACAGTGGTGTGGGCAGGCCACTCGGGAGAGAGAATGAGGCAGGAAGAGGTGGGTGAAGCACGAGGGAGGCCCCTTGCTCCTGGCTGGGAAAGGGAACCGCAGTTCTGGAAAGAAGAGGCTTTGCAGCCAACCACACGGCTCTGCTTTGTCATCGAAGGCCGAGCACAATTTTTCATCCGTTAAAATTGTATTTCCTTTATCCACTTTCATAAAGTGAGTGTGACTTATTTACCTATTTTTTAAGTAATTTACTTTACCCGATTAAGAGAGAACCAGCAGTTGGTAAAGCTGGTTCAGAGAGAATCAAGATTATAAGCCCAGAAAAATGAACGTTAAAATGTCTAGAGTATGTGCAAAACTGGTAAATGTCACACAGTGTAATAAAACTGTCAGCTTTAGGATTGGAGGGGTTTGTTTTTTATTGGCTTGGGTTTTCTGGTTTTGATTTTAGTTTTTGTTGTTTTTTTTAACCTGAAAAAATTGTTTGCATCTGTGCTAGACAAAAATGTACACATTACCGTGTAACTTTGCGGAGCCTGGGCCTTGCGCAACAGTGAATAACAGTTTGGGGGATTGTATCCCCCAAAGCATAGTGGGGTCCTTGGGCGGGCTTGCTAGCTGGAGCGCGCCAATGTCCTCTGTGTGGAGAGGGGACAGACACTGCCGGCCGTGAGGGTCTGAACTCACTAGTACCTCCGGGGCAACAAGCACCGAGATCTTAGTTTCTAAATAGCATTCTCCATCCTGGCCAGGTAGCTCAGTGGGTTAGAGTGTTGCCCTAATATACCAAGGTTGTAGGTTCGATCCCTGGTCAAGACACATGCAGGAATCAACCAATGATTGAACAAATGAGTGGGACAGCAAATCAGTCTCCCTCTCTCTCTCTCTCTCAAATAAATAAATACTTAAAAGTTTAAAAGAATAAAAACGTAAAGACCGTTCTCTAGTGAAAGGACTCGAGGCTCCTTGAAGAAGCGACCTTTGGAGGCGAAGGCTCCCTCCACTACGTGGGGTTCTCTAGGCTGCGCGTGGCCTCGTGCTGGAGCCGACGCGACACCCAGGGACCTTCAGAGGTGCCTTTTCCCCTCGTCCCACGGGTGACGTCCCCACGCTGTTCACACATTGTCACTGTCATGTGGGGACTCTCGGAGAGGCCTGTGGCTGCTGTCCGGGAAGCCCTGTGACCCTCGCCACCCTCGGAACTCGGAGAGGCCACCCAGCTCCACAGAAATAAGAGCGCCGGCCGTCTGACTGTGAGTGAGGCGCATCGTGGGGGAAGCTGGAGGTTCGGTGTCTTCTGAACAGTCAAGTCCTTCCCCTCGCGCCTCCTCTGAGGGGCGAGCAGACTCTTGGGAACCAGGAGGGGCCAGGGGTCTGCAAACCTGGTCAGGGCCGCTTCCAGGAAGGAGCCCTCCGGGCCCCAGTGTACCTATGGTCGGGCTCAGGGCCTGCTGCACCGGGACGCTGGCCCCTTCCCTGCCCACCTGACCAGACGGTCCCCTCCTTCACCTGCCTCAGTGGCCCCCTCACTGACCTTTCAAGGCCCCGCAGGACCTGGCCCCTTCCCACCTCCCGGCCTCACCTCTGGCCTCCTCCGGCCGCCCTCACCACCGCACCACCATCGCCCCCTCCTTACACACCCACCCCCATCCCCGGCACAAACTCCCGGGAATTCCCCTGTGCTCTCACTGTTCCCAGTACTTTGTGGCTGGCCTCGAGATGGCTGGGCGGTGTGTCGGCGGCCAGTCTGGCCCCAAGCAGACTCCCAGAAGGGTCCCCACCCCGCCCCCATACCTGCCCCAGCACTCACACCTGCTAGATGGGCCAGTGCAGCCCCCTAGAGGGAGGGCAGGGCCTTCAGCCGAGACCACTCTCGCCTTCCCCCAGGAGCCCAGCTCCCCAGGGCCCCACCCTGACTCTCCCGTGACAGGGACAGCGCGCCCCACCCCGCCCTAAACACAGGTGTCGGACACAAGCCTGGTAGCTGTGAAACCCGGCTCCTCAAAACTCCCCCTGCAAGGGCCCCTTGAGCGGGACACGGGCCCCAGGCAGCCGGTCCCCCCCTCGTCTCAGCGGCGCGGCCCTTGACGACACCCGCAGGCTCTGCCGTGGGTGGCTCTGTGCCCGTGACCCCTCCTTCAAGAAACCGTCCCCTAGGACCCGGCAGGTGTCACGCGCCCTGCCGGGATCCCAGGTGAGTGGGCAAGGCGCGGTCCCTCTCAGTCCCTCACAGGCCAGCAGGTGAGCAGACACGTGAAGGTCTCTACCGCCTGCTCCTCCGCGCTGGGACGGAAGTCCCAGGACAGTGCCAAGGCAGCACTCTCATTATCCATCACTGTGCTTCCCGATGCGTACTCAGACGTGTGTCACAGAATACGCCTCCCAGGACTTGGCGTGACGCGCATGTCTGGTCACTCCCCGGACTGGGCTGCTGGGGTGGAAGGAAATTCCTCCCAGACGCTCCCTCCTGCGTGTGAGTCAGGAGCCCAGGCCTCCCCAGCCGAACCCGGCCGGCCAGAGCAGAAGACTGGGCCCCCGCAATGAGCCGAGCACCCGAGCAGAGGCTGGGCACTGCCCAAGGACCGGGCTCCCGCTCCGAGAGTGCGAGGCCCCCTGCTGGCCCCGCGCCTCCACTGCAGTCACAGCCCTCCGCCGGCCTCGCCTCCAGCAGTTAGAAGAGAGGAGACCGTCCCGCCCTCCTCCTCCACCGCGAGCCTGTTGCGTCTGTGATTCTCATCCCCGCCACGAGGCGCTGCAGAACCTCCCTGCTCTGAGTCAGACGCTGTGTGGCCACGTCCCTGGGGGGTGACTCAGACCCAGACTCCGCTCAGAGGCCCCGTTTGTGATATTGCCTTATTTGGGCCCGGCAGGGCAGAGCCTCTCTGGAAGGAAGGAGGCACGTGGAGGCGGACTCACAGACCGTGCCAGCCTGGGGTGGGCTCTGCAGCTGCCGGGCTCATCCGCAAACGGGTTGATGCAATTTCCAGGCTTCACATCCTATGCAGATTTAAGTTACAAATATCACCTGGGCATCCTGGGTGGTGTGGCTCAGTGGACTGAGTGCCAGCCTGCAAACCAAAGGGTCTCCAGTTCGCTTCCAGGTCAGGGCACATGTCTGGGTTATGGGCCAGGTCCCCAGTAGGGGGCCACGTGAGAGACAACCACATGTTGATGTCTTCCTCCCACTCTTTCTCCCTCCTTCCCCCCTCTCTAAAAAAAAGTAACTACAATCCTTAAATCATCTGGACAATGGCTTGGGTACCATTAAGCATCACTAGCTGTGTCTGGAAGCCAAATGTTCTAACAAATAAATTAACATTGTAACAAATAAACATATTTAAGTCCATAGAAAAGTCTCCTCTGTATATATATATATATCGAGCAGAGAAAAGGAAACAAACAACAAATCAAAAGTAGACCCCAGAGAAGAAAGAAGCGTCGTCGGCCGGTGGGAGTGCCCTGGTTACTCTGCCCCGGGCACCGGCTCCTCCCACAGACGGTCCTGTCTCCGGAAGTCGGAAGCAGAGAAGATGCTGAGGCAGGTGAGTTTGAGGCAGGAAAAAAAAGCCCGAACACGCTGCACAAAGGTCCAGGCAGAGAAAGGGCAGCTGGTGACGGAGACGGAGAAAGAACAGCCAGGGAACTGGAGAGAAACACAGAGGAAGGGGGTGTCTGTGGCAGCAGAGGGAAGAAAGGTTTTCGGGGGGGTGCAGGGGAGGGCAACAAGCCCGGGCAACCACGGGAGACACAGGTGAGACAGGGAAGCCCTGGCTGGATTCAGGATGGGGACAGCCAGCAGTCACGTGGCCACTGCGGGGGCAGCGCATAGCGCACGGACGGACGAGGGTCCGAGTGCACGTTTTCGCCCCCCACCTAGGGCAGAGGTTCCCAGATGCAGCCTGGGGCCCCGACTCCAGCTCCGCCGCTCACTGGCCACTGAGGGCTCCGAAAGGGAGAAGCCTCTGAAACCCAACTGTTGATTGTAACATTATTCAGTTCGTACCCTCTCCGATTCCTTTGAATTCGGGGCTCCAACCCCAGCGAGGGAGGAGGAAGGACTGGCTTCTCCTGGGCCTCAGCCTCAGCGACAGGGGGCCCCTGCCGTCCCCTTCGCCCTCCTAAGCCGGGAGACAGTGGGGCAAGGCTGCGGCCTAGGGCGTGGGGCCAGGTGAGCCAGGCCCCACCCTTTTCCCGCCCACCCAATGGGGAAGGAAGGTCTCCCTTGGCCGGGGGCGAAGACGAAAGGTGCAGAAAGCGTGGCGCTCCGGGCCGGCGTGTGACGTGCAGCTGCGCACAGTATCTCCCGAGCCCGCGGCCTGTGCCTCCGACTGGTCAGGAACACCCAGGGCTGTGGAGGAGGAGTGGCCCGGGTGCCTGTTTTCCCTCCTTTTCCGCTGGAGGAAATAAACTAAAGAAAAGAGATTGCCTCGCCGTGATTCTCTCCTCTGTCTTTCACACGGGACACCCACACCCCTGTGGGCCCACACCCTGGCAGCTCTGGGAGATCCCGGCTGCTTCTGACTCACCCGCTGCCCTCAGGCCTGGGGACTCCCTCCCCGCCCAAAGTTCCCCATGGTTACTGCTGAGGCCACGGTGAGTGTGTCCGCCTCCACCCACCCCAGTGTACCTGGGACCGGTGCTGTCTGGTCAGAGAAAAATGAGCTGTTGTCCGGTCCTGTCCCACAGCATTGTGAGAGAGGCTTTGAAAAGTTCCAAGAGCATGTTTATTCAGGTTGAAAAACTGGGTCTCGTCCAAGGACAAGGACATAGTCTTCCTGCATTGCAAATCAGTCTGAGTAGCTCAGGACAGCCCTGGGGCTTTCTGGGCAGAGCCCTGGCGGCCTGGAGGCGGGGGCTGGGGAGAAGCCGTTCAGGGTGAGCTGGGAAGCTCTTCCGCCCCAGGGCTGCAGGGAGTTCCTGCCTTGACTTCTGCCCAGTCCTCTGTTGCTTAGAGGCCTGGGGAGGGGAAGCTCAGCTGCCTGCCCGGGAGGAGGCGCATGCTCTGGACGATGAAGATCTTCCAGGAGCCTGGCCGGAGAAGCCTGGGCATTCCCAGCCACCCTGTCACGCTGGGGCAGTGGACAGACTTTCTCCCAAGGGCCCAGAGCCCAGAAGAAATACAGGCGAGCCCAGAGGAAACTGAACAGTGAAACCAATCCACAGCTTCCAGGAAGGGCTGCCTCTCTCCCCTGTTCTCCGTTGTGACGGTTTCATAAAATCGTAGCGCCAAACCCCGGGAGCTGGAAATGAATGCCATGTCCCCATGGCACCCGGGGGCACAGAAAGCGGAGCCTGGCGGCGGGCAGTGGTACCTGCCCCTCGGGCAGGGTGCCCAGGCTCAGATGGGGATGGAGGACGGCAAATAAAAGCACGGCCAGGTGTACGTAGGGAAAGACTGTTGCAACAGGGAGGACTCTCCTGTCGGTGGATGCAAGCAACGTCGACACCGACAGAGAGTTTTTTTATGGGTTCATTTGAGCCAAAACTGACGACACGTGCTGGGGAGCGGGATCTCAAATGCTGTGGAGAGTGGCGGTGTGGCGGCGTCTTTTGTGCGTTTGAAACGAGGGAGGGGACCTTACGGCAGAGCACCCGCAGGTGGGCCGAGGCGGGGACCGGGCGGCAGGACGGCTGACGAGAGCGCAGTATGTGTTTTCTTATGGGTGCTCACGCCTTGGTCAAGTGCATTTGGGACACGCGCTTGCAGGGGCCTGGGGCCTCCCAGACCGTGCCGCTTTGGCATGTGAATGGCTCTGAGGGCAATGGAGCCTTCAGAGACTTTTCTCTCTCCCCCAAGGAACTTAAGTCAGCGGCCTTGCCCGTGATTAAAGATGATCAGAGATGACCTTTCTGGCCTTTCTATAAAGGGCAGGACAAACAAACACCTACTCCGCATCTGCTCTTCCTGAGAATGTCCACCCTCCGTTCGGAAGCCCCCGGTGCCTTAGCTCCGAACGCCCCTGTACCCGCTTCTCCCTGTCCGCCCTGCACCTGCCCTGTCCGTGGGGTTTCCACGTGTCTGTCCGTAGTTACATTGGGCTATTGTCTTGTTAACTTGTCTCATGTCGATTCAATTTCGTTATTAGACACATGGAAGAACCTAGAAAGGGAGAGGAAAGATTCTTTCCCCCCCACATTTGTACTAAAAAATGTTATTAGCGTTTGCCTGAAACTCAGATGGAACTGGGAGCGAGCATTTTTATCTGCCAAATCTGCCGCCCCCCCTCCCCCCCCATCAAGTAGCTGGCCAGCAACAGCGCAGCACCACGACTGTAACAGGCCTTGGTGACCTCAGTCCTTGCCCTGCCTGGCGGTGGCATCTGTAAAATGGGGACAATAGCAGAAGGACAACTTTCTTACCCAGTTGCTGGGAGGATTTAATGAGATCATCTATGCAGCGCCGTCAGGACCGTGGCGCAAAGTTCAGGCCCAACTGATGGCAGCTTAGACCGCCCTCCCTGACCTGCTGGCTCGCGGGGTATATTTCCTGGAGAGTCACAAGTGCCCCAGCCTCCGAGTTTGGCCACCTTTTCTCCCCAGGAGATGGGAAAGGGCTACAGGCTTTGGGTGTGCGTCCCAACTTTCGTCCGGGAGCCCCTGTGCCGGGCCGGCCGGCTGAGCCACCCCGGGACCGTCCGCAGGTGGCAGCACCAGCTCCGCGTCCCTCCGGCCCGTGCGCTGCAGGCCGCGGCGCGCAGGCGGGCTGCGTCCCGGCCGGCTGCAGAGCAGGCCTGGAGCCGCGAGGCCACACCCCGCCGGGGCGGAGGGCGCTTCCCCGCCGGTGAATCATCGCCAGCAGCGTAGCCCGCAGTCCCGTTGCGGAGTGCAAGGCCCGGCCGCGCCCCTGCACCGAGCCCCGAGCCCAGCACCGAGCCCCCGATCTCGATCGCCGCGCAGCCGGGCACCATGGCGGGCATCGCGGCCAAGCTGGCCAAGGACCGGGAGGCGGCCGAAGGACTGGGCTCGCACGAGAGGGCGGTCAAGTACCTCAACCAGGACTACGAGGAGCTGCGGAACCAGTGCCTGGAGGCCGGGGTGCTCTTCCAGGACCCCTCCTTCCCCGCCATCGCCTCTTCCCTGGGCTTCAAGGAGTTGGGACCCCACTCCAGCAAGACGCAGGGCATCGAGTGGAAGCGGCCCACGGTAGGAAGCGCGCGCGGGAAGCGGGGCAAGGAGGGTGCGGGGCCCCCGGGCGGGGGAGGGCAGGGCGGCACGGGGCAGGGGGCGCGGAGGGAGAGTCCGCAGGGCAGCTCCAGAGCCGCAGCCCGCAGCCCAGCGACCGCGCGCATCCCCGTTACCCGGTGCAGGCGCGCGGGGACGCTCCCGGGTCACCCGGGTCCACCCACGGCGCTCCGCGGGCCGCTGCCCTCAGACCCCATTAGCAGACCCTTCTAAGCGACTTCACAAAAACTAGGGTGACAGAAGGGAGCCTGGGGGCGACTTTGGTTGCACTCCGGTGGGGAGCTGGGGGGAAGGTGGGGAGGAGGGTGGGGAGGAAAGGACCCTGGGCGGCCACCTCGGCCAGGAAAAGTCAGTTCTTAACTTGGGTGCTGCTGGCTGCAGGGAGGGGCAAGTCCACACAGCCTGGTCCTTTGGTGACTAAGGGCTGTCTCACGCAGCCCCGGTGAGCTGCAGCCAGTTTCTTGCTCATGCAACAAACAGGAGCGGAGAAGACCGGCCCATGCCATTCACGCTGGTGACACAGGACAGGGGAGGTGGAGTGGAGGAACAGTTCCCCATCATCCCGCTGGGCCACAATCCTCCCTGGGAACCTCAGGGGGCCTCCAAGCTCCCTTGTCCCCACCTCCCCACCCCCACCCCCACCCCCAGTATCTCTGTTCTCCTCGCCCTGGCAGGGGAGGACAGCTGGCTCCCTAATCTAGCAGTCCAGGGGGTTCCCATGGAGTCCCTGCTGGGTCCGCCTCCCGTGGGGCCAAACCTAAACATAGCTTCCTGGGACAGCCAGCCTCCAGGTTCCAGGGGGAGGAGAAGCATTCCTGCCCCTGTCCCACTCTCCTGAGCCTCCCCGACACCCCTGAGCCTCCCCCAAACAGAGGGCACGGGCCGCCAGTGTGCAGGAAGTGCCCCAGGCCAGGGCACGGGCCCCTAGTTTGTTTCTTGCTAAGCCGCTTGGTGACTCGCCCTGAGACAGTCACGCTTTGTGCCTCCACGTCCTCCTCTAACAGACGAGCAGATGCCTGCATCTCCTCTCCCTCCACTGACTCACGAGGCCCCGCCGCCGTTCAGCTTCTCGACAGGGCCACTCTTTCCCGCCTTCTCACCTGCCAGGGCCGCCCCTTCCTGGGCTCCTGGGCTCCTGGAGTCTGGCTCACTCTCATTCTTGGGGGCGTCGTCCAGGGTCCCCTCCCCGACCTTATCGTCCCTGCCTGATCTTCGCAGCTTCCTCCCTATCTTTTCATTCCTTATCACAAACCCTGCTGATTTCCTTTGTAGCCTTCTCACGATTTATAAACATAATCACACGTATCTGTTGGAACTTCCCCCGAACTGCAGGAATCATGCACGAATTCATCAGTAAATACATCTCCTCAGGGCCCGGTGGGGTCAGTGCCCTTCCACAGCTTGTGTGCACTCACGCACGCATGCACACGCGTGCACCCGTTGACGCAGCAATATTGACTGGGAGCCTAGGGCTTGCCAGGCGCTGTCCTAAATGCCCGGGATACACCCATGAACAGCAAGACAGTGACCATGTGTGGAACAAGTGAATGAACGGATGAATGAATGAATGAATGCAGGGTTGTAACAAGCCTCAGATGAAGTTATGGTGGTGAAAGTGAACAGCAAGAGACTTTAGTCACCTTACACTCGTACAGCAGTTTACACTTTCCAAAGTGAACTTGCAAACTCATTTATTCTTTGATTCATGCAATAAGCATTTATTGAACGCCTACTGTATGCCGGGCGCAGCGCATATAGTTTCTGCCTCTAAACTACTAGTGACCTAATTGTGTGTACACTGTGTGCACTGCCTTCTCGTGGTGCAGATAAATAGTCTCACTAGGGGCGAGTGAAGGGACACAGACAGGTCACCCAGTAGTTGGAAATACCTGTGGGACTTCGAGACAGGGAAGCAGACCACAGCCACTCTGTGCTGGGGCAGGCTGAGCCCCGCATGGCCAAGGGGGCGTGGGGCTCTTGGGTTCCATTCAGCAGGTGCAGAAACCGAGACTGGGGGAGGTTAAATATCTGCTCACACCGGGGTCGGGGTGGAGCCAGGGCAGCGCCCGACCTGTGGGCACGCAGAGCCCACAGCCCACAAAGGCCCTCTGCTTCCGCCCCGGCTTCTGGAACACTGCTGCAGTCAGGGTCAGCCCTGGAGGCCACACCGCGTGCCCCGGGCTGGGACACGCTCAAGTCATCGGTGACTGCACAGAGCCTTGGGGTGGGGCGGGATTTCAGCGGGTGGACGCCGGATGGTTAGAGACTCCGGGTGAAGGTGCCAGGACGTGGCACAGGATGTGGTCTGCTCCTTCCAGGGGGTGCCTTGGGAAGGGAGAGAGGAACCCCGGGAAGCAGGGTAGGACCTGGGCTTGCGAGGCTATTGTCTCGGAGGAGAGCAGCTGGAATGTGGCACAGGTCGGGCCGCTGGGGAGGAAGGGGTGACGACAGAGGCGGGGAGGAGATCACCAAACGGTCCCTGCGGAAGTGAGAGTGGCACTGTGCCTTCTCTAGAGGGGGTTTTCCCGCGCTGGTGGCAGAGGGCTTGGGGCGGGGCGGGGGTGGACAGGGACTGGAGGGGAAACTTCTCAAGTCCTGAGTGCAGCAGCTCTGCGAGGAGAAAGCCGGCGACATCCGAGGACAGCACCAGTCAGGACGGAGCAAGGGCAGGGGGTGTTAGTCCCATGTTTACCTTGGTGACAGCCAAACCTCTGAGAGGGTTAGGACTTGCTGATACCCAGCTGGCTGAGTCAGCCTGCAACCTGCATCTCCCACCTCCAAGTTCAGTGATTATCATCAACGTCTTCAGTCATAATAACAATAATAGGTCATCTTTAGAGGGTGTTTACTGGGGTTCGTCTGTATAGTTTTCTCATTTAGCCCTCATAGCAACAACCCTAGGTTGTAGGTACACCTGCCACCACTGCCCCCATTTTACAGATGAGGACACTGAGGCTTGAAGAGGAAAAGTCACCTGCAGGGTCACCGAACCCACAGACAAAGTGGCCGAGGCTCGAACCCAGGTGGTCTGAGCCCAGAGCCCCAGCCCCCAGCCCCCAGCCCCCAGCCCCTTTCCTAGGCCGGCTGCACCCACGCGTACTTCCGTAGCCCGCACGCTGAGAACACCGCCCAGCCTTCCGAGCCTCTCTCAATGCCACCCTGAACTTTGCCTCCTTTGGGGACGCTGCCAGAGACGGAGGAAAGTTTCTGAAACCTAATGGAAAAATCCTGGTGGGGTAAGAGCTTGGCAAGCTCAGGATTATCAAGTCAATTCTCCGGCTCCCGGCCCCAGCCCCAGCCATTGCCTCAGCCGCCTAAGTGCCTGGCTGGCAGGCCTCGCGCAGCGCTGGCCTGGGTTTCTCGCCGTCCCTGTCATCTGGCGAACAGACCTCCCAGAGCAGGGGAGAGACAATGCAGAGGAATGTGCTGGGCTGCACAATATGGTTCCCTGACGGACGGACTGCCGGGGGACAGACTGACGGACCGGGGCTCCATCCGGGCCTCGCCCAGGAAACGCTTCTGCTCGATCCACAGCGAGGGGCTCCCGAGGGTGTGGGTGGAGCCCCGAGAAGTTGCCGGGGCCCCGAGAAGCCCGGTGGATGCCCCGACTTCCTCTGTGGCTTTGGGTGGGGCTCTGCAGAATCAGGAAGCGGCCGAGAGGGCTGCTCCACACAGAGGGGCCGGGATTGTTCAGGGCGGCACCCACCAGGCTACTTATGGGGCCTTCCTGCGCTTTTCACAGCCGTAGGGGTTTGTTGCTAATCCACGAGAGGCAGCGCAGAGGCAGGGAGAGGACACAGTTTGCACCAGCAAGCTCCCCTCTGCCCCGGTGCTGTCCGTAACGTGTGAGCGGCATCACTGTAGACACATTGCTTTATGCCCTCGGCCTGTGTCCTCGCCTGTAACACGGAGACAGGACTCATCCTGTGTCCTGAGAGGGCCTCATGAGATAAAGCCCCACGGCCCGTGATGACACACAGCAGGTCCACAATGCCTGCCCCAAGTGCCACAGCCCCACAGGCGAATCCAGGAAGCGAGACACCTTGCCCGGCCCTCAAGACGCGAGTGAGTGCCAGGGAGACTGAGGAAGGCCCCCTCGGCAGCACCAGACAGTGCGCAGGCGAAAGCTCAGTTGCGGAGTATAAGTGCTCCAGACCCCAAATCACGGGGATGAGCGACAACAGCTGCCTGGGCTGTGAAGGAGGGCTTCGTGGAGGAGGTGGCGCTGAGTCCTGAAATACAGGGAGATGTACAAAAGGAGAGAAGAGGATGGGAGAGGGAGGAATTGTAGGCAAGCCAAGCAGCTGACGTGCAGGGACAGAGGAGAGGGGCCAGCGCGCAGCTCGGGCAGCTCCGGCGTGTGGACAAGCTCACCGCCCCACAGAGGAGGCTGGACTCGATGCTGATGTGGCCCGAGGAACCAGCATGAGGACGCAGGTTCTGGGCCATGTGGAGCCTTGGGCAAGCCTCTCCTTCTCGGCCAGGAGTGCCCCCCAGCACCCCTGGGGACCCACAAAGTAGGGGTGAGGAAGGGACCTCGTGGCGGTCTAACCGTACCTGCCAAGCTTGCCCCAGAGGGGAGGGTGGGGGACAGGGGGTGCAACGTCCCTGATGGGAACGGAGGCGTCTCAACCACAAAAGCACGTGCCCGGCGGGCTGACGGTACTTTGTGGCTCTCGTTCCCAGGAGATCTGCGGTGACCCCCAATTTATTGTCGGAGGAGCCACGCGCACCGACATCTGCCAAGGAGCCCTGGGTGAGTGACAGGGTGACGGCCTGCACAGCAGGCCACGGGGTCTTGTCTGCACGGCAGTGGGCAGCAGGGGTGAGGGGTGATCGGTGGCTTCTCCCCCTCCCCCACCAGCTTGGCCATTTCCAGAAGCTTCTGGAATTTCTTGTCCCCTGGGGGCCTCGTGCTGGGGCACACAATTTGCACAAACGTGCATGGGGCCACCTGTGTCCCCTGCACTGGGCTAGTTGTTGAGGTTGCAGAGACACTCCCGCTGGGGGACGGCAGAGGGCCACCTGTGGTCTCCGCACCTCCTGGGGCCGGTCTGAGTGATGGCCCACGCAATAGTCAGGCAGGTGGGGGCTGAGGGCTGGGTGGGAGGATACACCCAAGTCCCTCTGGGGCTCAGGAACAGGCACGGGGACTCAGTGTGGAGGAAGGGGCAGCCCCCCTGCGTGCTCGCTGTTGAGAGGAGGTGGCCGTATCAGCGTTCTCGGTATTTGCAAGAAAGACAGGTCACCGCGGCGCCACAACAGCGGGGTGCAGCATGCACTACAGCGAAGGCAGGTGGGGTGCTCGTTTTAAGCGAGAGTCACGGTGGGAGCTGTCTCTCGAGGGCCTGCCACCGCTCTGTGAGGCCGAGCTCCGATCTCCGGCTGACGCCCTCCGGTCTGCGGAGATGGGGGCCTGCGGCCTCCGCGCTGGGCAGAGAGCTCCCCGGGCTTCTGGGAAGACGCCTCCAACAAGACCTGGGACCGCTACTTAAGAGTCTCGTAGAATCCACCCTCCATTTTTTCCGACTCAGTCAATACTCCCCATGATCACCGAAGCATCCCGTCTGATCGGATAAATCAAACCCTTGCTCCCCGCCGACCAGGTCAGCTCCCTCCTCAAACTAGTCCGTCAGTAACGGAGTCGACCGTCTTGACTTGTATGCACCTCCTTCGCTGGCCCTCCGGGAGGTTCTGATGCTCAGAACAATAACAGCTAATAGTTGCAGGGTATAAACCGCGTGCCAGAGACTGAGCCGCGGTAGCAAAATCTCTACGGTCGCGTCATTGCCGTTGACCCTGAATGACACGGGTTCGACCTGGTTGGGTCTACTTATGCACGGATTTTTTTTTTCCAGTAAATACGTACAGTGCTGTAAATGTAGCTTCTCTTCCTCTTGATTTTCTCTAGCTTGATTGTGAGAATACAGTATATAACATGTATGACAGACGAAATATGTGTTTAATCCACTATGTTATCGGTAAGGCTTCCGGTCAACAGCAGACTATTCGTAGTTAAGTCTTGGGAGCGGTCAAAGCTATACACAGATTTTTAACTATGCAGAGGTCGGTGTCCCTGACCCCTGAGTTATTCAAAGGTCAACTGCATTCCCACTTTCCAGGTGAGGACGCCGGGCTCCCGAGAGTGACCCGTTTAAGGTCCTCCCGCGGCGGAGGTGGGGGCCTGGGCGGCACACGCAGACAGTCTGACTGCGGGCCGGCGTGGGTAACTCCCAAGCTGGATTCCACAGGCGGGGCCAGGGGGGCCCTGGAAAAGTCTCCAGTCCTGAGCAACTGCGTGAGTCATCAGGACGGGCACCCTGAGGAGATGCCACTCAGGAAGACCTGTGACCCCCTCCCTAAGCCGTGACCCGTGCGTGACCCAGGGCTGGACGGGCAAAGCCTCTGAGCAAATTCCTGAGATGCCAGAGCACATTCTTACCTGAGAAAACACGCACCTCCATCTCCCATCTTTTCAACCCACTCGTGACGGAAGCTTGGGGTCCTTGGGCACCTACGGTGTGTGCTCCTGGAAAATCTACTTAACCAGCAGATTTAGAGGCTCGCTGGGCTGGAAGCTGGTGTTGCCTTTGACCTCCCCGAGGGGTGGGGGGGCTTCACACCCGGACTGGATTCCACCTGGGCTAAATTCCACACCTGGACCAAAGGGCTACTTCTAATGGAATGACCTCTTAAGGGCCAAGTTGAGAGTAACAAATACAGGAGTTAAGTCCTGTTTAAACACTGCCGGGCCATTTGCGGACGAGCTTAGATTCCTGGGTAAAATTCCCCATGAGGGGCACCAACTCAAATAGGTCAGTCTTCTGGAAGCTTCTCGGTCATTCCTGAGGTCTCTTCACACCAGGCTGGCCCTTGTTCTCTTGGCGTTTCCTTTTAGCAGGGTGCCCAACCTTTCGGTATCTCCGGGCCACACCGGAAGAAGAAGCGTTGTCTTGGGCCACCCATTCAATACACAAACACTGCCGGAAACTGATGAGCAAAAAAGGTTTCAAGCAAACTTACGATTTTGCGTTGGGCCGCATGTGGCCTGCGGGCTTCGGGTTGGACACCTTGCTGCAGAGGGCCTGGTCGGATTACAGGCTGTGGAGTGGAGTTGGCTGAGCTCCCTCCCTGATTCTAATGCCTGGAGACAGGGCTGTTACTGACGGGTGGTGACCAACGCCCAGTCCTGAGGGCCCAGGAGCATGGGGCCCAGGGGCCTTGGCTGTGACCCCTGTCTGCCGAGGCTCTGCCCATGGGTGGGAGACTGTGGGCAGTGACCCCTTGAACCCTCCACCCCTTCTAAGATGTACCTGACAAGGTGGCCTCAAAGATCCCCCGAGTGTGGCGCTGAGCAACCCAGCATCACCCCTTGTGTCTGACGCTGAGTGTGGACCTTGTGCTGGGGGGTCAGAGCCCCGCGAGTTCACTCCGGCCGCACACACGGAACGACAGCCACACACCTGCCGCCCGCACACCAGTGTGCCACGTGTGCAGCATTTTCACTCCATCGGCTCACACGACCGTCCCAACAGGCCACACAGCTAAAAGCACCTGCAGAAAGGACCCTGGTCTGATTGTGAGCCTCTCTGAGCCCTTTTTTTCGTAACCCCGGACTCGCTCCAGTTGCCCCAAGGCCGTGACGAGATAACGTGGAGGTGACATAGTCAAAGCCTAATTCGTTTCCTCACCCACGTTTTCTGCCCCGAGACTCAGCTCGCCTGGGCGGCACTGCCCTTGAACTTGTACATTCCCACCGCCCTTCCGGCCTTCACGGCGCGGCCGGCCATGGTCCACCCCCAGCTCCCACCCTCTTCCCCAGAAGATTCGGGGCTTCACCAAGCAATTCGGACCTGGTTCGCAGAGCTCTGGCAATGAGCCGCCAGCTCTGCAGACCGCGGAGCCCGCTAAGTCACCCTGCGCTCGGGAGGAAGGGCTGGAGACCCAGGCTGGCCCTGCCGCTAAATATGGCTCCATAATAGCAGGTGCCGACCTGTTCTTACGGGTGATTGCCACTGGGAAGGCCCCCAGAGGTCCAGAAAATTGCTGAGCTTCTCCTACCTTCGGTTTCCACTTGAGCCATGCTGAGTTTGCTCCACACCCCCCTCCACATGCCCACGGCCCCCATAGCGCCCTCGGAGGCTCCTGTGGGGCTCATGGCTGCCAGCTCCGCCAAAGCTGTCAACACAGCAGGGCCCCATTCGCTGAAACCTAGCAAATGTCTTCAATGCCCCTCAGAGGTGGGTCGCCCTGACGCTGCCCCCAGGAGTCACACGGGCCCCCAGAGCATGCCCAGCTCAGCAGATAGCGGGGGCCAGGCATGACCCATGGGAAGAGGCCACGGAAAGCATGACCTGAGGAAGTTTCCGGCTGCCACCCCCTCCACCGCTTGCTTACTACCCTGGCTGACTTTGGGCAGGTTGGCCAAGCTCTCTGAGCCTCAGTCTCCTCTTCTGCGAAATGGGACTAATGATAAGAGTCCCTTTAGGGGCTGGGGGGGAACGTGAGAGCAACAAAGGCCCCCTGGAGAGTCCTGAACACACTCGAGGGGCACGATCATTACTGAGCCCAGCTTTGTGGAAAGCCCCTTCGCCGCCTCGTAGAAGTACAGGGCGGGGGATGGGAGAGGGAGGGAGGAGGAGATGAGCTGCTGGGAAGCAAGTCCTGGTCTCCAAAAACTCACTCTCCGGGAACCGAAGGGCCGGGAAGGGGGAGGCGAAACCGGCGCCTGGGTTCGGGTGACGCACGCCTGTCGGTACTCGGAGGGGAGGGCAGTGCACGGGGCCATACAGGCCCAGGGGCAGACGCACGCACACACGCTCTTCGGTTTTAAACAGAGACATTTTAAAACGTCTTACATGCATATTTCGATGATGTTTAACGATAATTTTTTAAAATCTCTAATTTGTCTAATAGCTATCTGGTTAAAATGTCAATGGACTTCACTTTTTAGGACAGATTAGATGTGCGGGCAGTGGGAGCTGGTCGTGGAGATAGGGGTCCGGGCCGCCCTCCCCCGCCCCCGCTCTGCTCCCCTCTGACGTCATACGTTCGACAGCGCGGGGGGGCGGGGGTGCTGGTCACTGCGCATGCGCCGGTGCGGACTCTTGCTCATCAGAGTGCACCGTCCGCGGGCGCGGGGACGAGACTCTTCAGACTGTTTTAGTGTGTGCCTCACGCCCTTGTTCTGTGCCGAGATCCCATCCAAGACCCCGCGGGGCACGTCCTCGGGGCGTCTCCTCGGGCTCCGCTGGGCGGTCACGGTTCCTCGATGCCCCTCGTTTCTGATGAGTTTGACAGTTTTGCAGGTCACCCACCGGTCAGGGATTTTGCGGGGCCCTTTGTAAAACACAGTGCACGTAAGCTCGTTTTATTTTAGAGGACTGGAAAATAGTTTGTTGGCTGGTGGGATGGAGAAAGTAAATACATTTTCTTCTCTTAAAAGCAGTCGCCTCGACTCACCCCAGCCCTGCCTTCCCGCCCCGCCACAGCGCCGCCCCTCCCACCCTCCTGGAGCCCGCGGGGCAGCCGTGAGTCATCATTTCCTCTGGCTTCTCTCCTGGTTGTGAATGTTCTGTCTCAGATCGGCTTCCCTGCAGCTGCTGCCCTGTTCCTCTCCGGCTGGGCCTCCGTCTCATCAGCAGGGCGGGGATGAGTCGCTCGCTTTAACATTTCACCCCGGACCCCTGGCCTAACCCGCTGCCCCGGCTGCCCCGGCCTCAGCCAGCACCAGCAGGGCTCCGGGCCCATCCACAGCCTAAAGGGCCCGCCTCTCCCAGGCTGTCCCTGTCCTCCCTTCCCCAGAGAGCGGAAGCTGCGAGAATCCTCCCAGACTTCTCCACTGTCCCACAGGCCCCGGGGTGGGGGCCATGGTTCCACGAGCCCCACGTGAACCTGTGGGTCAGACCGTGACTTTGGCTTGTTCTGGTACCCCCTGAGCTGGGAGCCAGGCCGCATCCCTGGTGGCCTCCGGCGCCTGTCGCTGAGACGAGAGGGCTGGATCAGACTTTCCCAAGTCCCCAGTGGTCACTCCTGAGGTCCCTGCCTGCAGCCCCTGTGCCCCCCACCCCCCACACGGGGTGCCATGGTTGTGAGCTCCGACGGCTCAGGCCACCCCCACTTTCAGCATGGTCGGCCCATCCTCAACGCAGTCGCCTGCACTTTGCTGCCCCAGATGCAGGGAGACTTCTGTCCAGGAAATCAGGAAGACAGATGCCCTCCCGCCAGCCCTCCAAGGAGGTGAGGGTTCGGGGGAAGGGAGGCAGCAGCGGGGCCAGGCCCCCTCCTCTCCTGGGGAGGGGGGGGGGTTGTCTGTGATGCCCGCCGATTGCGGGGAAGGGGCGTGGATGTGGCTGTGTCTGCCAGGAAGCTGTCCCATCTGCAGGAGTCCAGGCAGATCAAGGCTCGGACATCCGGCAGTGACTCTGGGGACCTCGGCCGCAGCGGGCAGGGGCACAGAGACCAAACCTGCACCAGGTGGCTCCCTCCTGGTCCACCACCTGGCCGAGGACGAGGCAGGGCTCAGGTGCCTGGTGCTACACCCTTCTGAGGGTCCAGATGTTGCCACCCGAGTGCAGGGTGTGTGACTGTGAACCTCGGCCTCCTCATCTCCCTCCCCCTTCCCTTCCCACCTTAAGGCCCCCTCATGCTGGAGCAGCGGGGGGCCAGAACTGGAAAGGGGGCACACGGTTTGGCTCCTTCGCTCCTGCCACACCCTCTGTGTGTGGTTCACGAAAGAGGTCGCAGGCCCCGCCTTCTGTGATTTCAATGGGGCCTCTCCCCTCCCTCCACAGCCGCTGATACAAATGTGTCGTGGCTGTAGGTAGGGGGGTTCCGGTTTGGGGTACTTTTCCCTGGGCTGCCGCCAGGTGTGAAACAGGCAGGGGAGGGAGGGCCCCGTGTGACTCATCCGCCACCACCTCACATGCCTGGGCGTGTGCATTTCCTCTAGAAAAGCCCCTCCCCACCAGCTCTCAGGGGTGGCCCTCGATTTGCCGCTCAGGGCTTCCGTCCCCTCCCTTCCAAAGATGAGACTCGGGTGGCCCGGGGGTGGGGGGCCCATTGCTGGGCCCCATGGGCCATGGGAGATGGGCAGAGTGTCAGGTCTGCCAGAGACTGTCAAACTCAGTGTCTCAGAAAGGGTCACACTGAGCCAGAAGCAGCATCGATATCTTGGTCTGGCTATCATTTATCTAGGTGTCCCCACGGAAGGCACAGGAACAAAGCCCTAAAGCAAGGAGACACAGGACAGGCGAGACTTCAGGCAGAGCAGGGTTTTTGACCTTGGCCCCGCGAACATTCAGGGCTGGGTACTGCTTCCCTTCGGGGTGTCCTGCATGCTGCGGGTCGTGCAGCAGCACCCATTCCTGGCCTCAGTCCCCCAGATAGACCAGCTCCGCCGCTCCCCAAGCATGATGGTCAGAGAGGTCACAGACATCACCCCAGGGCCCCGGAGTGGGGGTGGGGGCAGCAGAAAGGCCCGGTGGAAAACCACTGATAAGATGGAGGGGGAGGGTGATAAGGACCAGGAGTGGGGCTGTGTGGGTGTGGCTGTGCTAACTGGTAGGTGAGCTGCCCGAGGCCAAGCTCACACCCACCACAGCCACACGTAGGCGTGAACATCATTGGCTGAGAAAAGGAGCAACAACACTGACCTCAGCCGGCCAGGGGGTACATTACTGGGATGGCTGACCTCGTGGGAGAGGAGCTGCTGCTGCTGCTGCTGCTGCTGCTGTAGCCAAGGGGGGGACTGCCACCCTGCCCCCTCTGGACACACCCCTGGGGAGCTGCCTGTCTCATCAGCTTCCCAGACAGGCATGCCAGGTGCCCCGGGGACCGCAGAAGGGCGCTGGCACAGCCTCCAGACATTGCCACCTCTCCGTGCTGGCTCCACTCTCTTGCTGGCCCCTCCCCGAGTGGCAGGTGCAGCTGGCGCCCTGGCCGGGCACAGATTTCAGGGAGGTCCCTGTCTCCTCGCACCCGCATCTAGTATGTGACCACCCATCCCCCAAGTCCGTGGCTGGAGACCACAGTGATCACCTTCTTGTTCCCTCTCACGGTGCTGAAGCACGGCTGGGCTCAGCTGGGCGCCTCTCGGGGTCTGTCCCACCATGGGAAGCAGTCGGCACTGGGCCCCAGGGTCTAGAAGAGCCAGGAATACTGTGGCCACCGTTTCGGAAGGCGCACAGGCCCCGTTGCTCACGACTCCCTCTGAATAATGGCTCCTCGCTCTTTGCTGGGGGGGGGGGGGGGGCGGAGCCTGCTGGGACCCCAGCCCATGGTGGCAGGGCGGGTGTGTGCCAGGGGACCTCCCAGTATGAAGGGCAGAGGGGCACTCGCTACCTGGGCCAACCAGGCCAGCCTGGGGACACTCTCTCCCACCAAGCATCCCTGCACCAGGGGCTCCGGCCCCGGCCAGCCCGCTGTCTCTGCTTCCTGCCGGTCAGCTCCGTGGGTGACAGGAGGAGAAGTGAGACTTGGGACTTAAGGCAGAAGAAAAGAAAAGCTCAGTCCTTTCCATGCATGAGACTCCCACCTCTGCCCGCTCACCCCCACGTCCATCCAGCCCTCTCCCTGCGGGTCTTTCTTACCTCACCCTGCCCCCTTCCGCACCTGTCACACACCCCTTACTCCAGGGGAGGCCTTAACTCTCACCTGGGCTCCTGCCCTGGGCGCCTGCCCATCTGCAGTCCATGCTGGACACTGCTGCCAGAGGCCCTGTGGTCACCAGGGAGGGAGGGGGCAGCCCGGTGGTGGAATCGAACGGTTAAGTGAACAAATGAAACATGAGCGTTGGTCACGCCGGCTGTCACAGGGGTCAGCTGGGATGCAGCGTGAGGACACGGGAGGGGGGCGGCGCAGGGTGAGGAGGGGTCCCCCAAAGGCTGGGCCTGAGTCCCCAGGATGATGAAAGGAGAGAGGTGGAGGGACCGTGTGGAGGGAGCCGGGCAGAGCTGCCCCAAAGGGAGTCATTCTTCCCAGAAAGTGCAGGCACTCAGTGTGCGAAAGGGGGCGGGGGAGGAACCTCAGCTGAAATTCCCGGGACAGGGGCGGGGGCTCAGAGTCTGGAGCTGGAGGGAGCCCAGCCGCCTGTCTCCAGCCTCAGCCCTCCCCACACACCCAGCGCCCTGCACCCGCCTGTCCCCTGCTCCACCCCATCCTGCCCGGAGCTACAGCCCCCACCCTCTGGGACTCTGCACTTGACCTTCCCTCCCCCTGCAAGTGCTCCCCAGCCCACCTCCACCCCGCCCTCCCTAGCTGGGTCCAAGCTCTCCTCTGAGCAGTCCACCCCACTAGGACTCGAGGCCTAGTGCTCACCTCCATCTGCTGTGATCGCCTGTTTCTGTGGCTGTCCCCAGGGTCCCCAGGCTGGCGCACCAGCGGCTCAGGGTGGAGGCCTCTCTTCTCCGGACCTAGCACAGGCTGGCGCTGCAGAAGGGGAAGCCAGCAAACAGGACCTGAGAGCAGACAGACAGAGAGAGACACAGGGACACCAGAGTCAGCCCCGGGCAGGCACTTGGAGGCTTTTGCTGGCGGCACAGGCAGGTCAGGCCTCGGGAGGGAGACAGGTGACAGTGAGGGGTGCTGAGGCCCGGAGGGCTTCTGGGAAGAGGGGGCCTGGCCTGGGGCGTCCCGTTCTGTGTGCTGTGTGCAAGTGTGTGCGCATGTGTGCACACACACGTGTTTTACTTCACGGAGCACGTGCTCCGCTGTGACACGGCCCCTGCGCTCACAGAACCTGGGCTGTCAACAGGCCACTGTGCTCGAGCGTGAGGAAGCCGCAGCAGGACAGGTGGGGCCGAACGGAAGCCCAGCGTCTGCACGTCTCTGCCGCACCTTTTTCTGTTTGTGGAGGAAACACAGGGGGCGTGGAGGGAGAGAGGGAGCGAGCACAGGACAAATATCACGCTGTCCTCTCGGAAAAACTTCCAGCCACCGCATGTGTTCATAACCCGGCCACATCCCCAGGCGACTCCCCGCCGGGGCCCCAGGTGACCGCGGAGCTGACCTTCAGGACCGGACGCCCAGGCCCCGGGGGGACAGCTCTGGAAATTTACTGCCAGGGCCCTGCATGAATTTATCTTTTCAGCGCGGGCTCTGGGGCGTAAAGGAGGCCGTTCACGAGGTCTGCCTGGCAGTGTCTCCACAACTGCTCAGAGGGGTCTGGGCGGGCCCGTGGGGGGAGGCGGTGCGTGCCCGGGGCGCCCACATGGGGGCCGGGGTGGTGAGGCCGCTGCAGACAGTCGGACCTTTTGTCCAGGTAGACCTAGGCCCCCCAAGTCCGGAAAGGTGAGGCAGCTGTGCTTCTCGGCCCCCCAAAATCCACATCAAACCTCCTTCTCCCGAGCAAATCAGAAGGGGTGGGGCAAGCTTGGGTTTGGAGGGGAGTCCCTGGCGGCCCAGGAGCAAGGGTGGCTGGAGTGATCTCAGCAGGAGGCCGAGGCCGGGCCAGCGTGAATGTCACGAAGTGGTCGTGGAGCAAATGAGGAAATTAACTCGTGAACACTCTGCCACAGACACCAGAACAGTGGGGCCTATTCAGTGCAAACCTCCCAGCCAGGCACGTGTTCTCTCGGGGAGAGAACGTGGTTCCCAGCTGCTGCAGACTCGGGGGGCGGCAGGAGGCCAGACGGAGGACCTTTGGCTCTTAAAGGCGCCCCTCGCCTGGAGTTCGGCACAGGACACAGCAGAGGAGAGGCCACACACCAGCCTCACCCCAGGGAGGGCGGCTCCCCGGGACCCTGGGCCCTCCCTGGGGTGAGCAAAGGGGGGGCACGTCCACAGTCCCAGGGGCGGTCCCCACAGGCCTGGGGTGGGGGCCTCACAGGAGTTTTGCGTCTCTTCTGTCGTGTCTACGACCTCACCAGCACTCTTCTTCGTTTTTGCTCACTCGCTGTTGCGTCCGAGAGTTTGCTGAGGTTCAGGACGTTGGGAGGGGAACCTTACGCCCTGAGCAGGTCTCGGCCCTTCTGTGGCTCCCCTCCCCACTCATTCCCGCCTCAGTGACAACCCCCACCCCAGCCCTTGTCACCCTGAGCTGTCACCCTCTGGGGACAGGACTGCCGAAGGTGGCCAGCGGGGCACGTAATGCGTCCTCAATCCAGACCACCGCTTCCGGATCTCAGGCTTCTCCCCTGTAAAACTAGAAATAAAAACAGTCAGCTCTGAGAGGCACCATTCTCAACTCTTTACCTGTTTTCTCCCATTTAACGCTCAACTCTGTGATGTACTTCACTGCTATTAAACCCATTTCGTGTATGAGGAAACTGAGGCACAGCGGGAGTGGTTTGCCCCGGGATAGAGCCAGGCGTTGAACTTGGGGTTCCGGTTCCAGGGTTCCTGAACCTTTTGGGGTGGGAGAGAACCCTGGTTCCTCCCTAGAAGAGTCCGTACATTCGCGTACATGCAAAATTAGCCCAACAGGTTCGGGGTTCCAGATCTCTGAGGCTCACCCACGGACCCCTACCTGCCCTCTCCCATCTGACCCTAACAGCCTCCTGAGGCTACGTGACTTTTATTCTCCTTGCACAGCTGAGGAAACATGGGTGGGGGAAATGAGAGCTGTACCCAAGTTCACGCAGTCGTTAGTGGTGGAGCACGATTCTAACCCAGGTCTTCGGATTGCAAATCCCGGGCTCGGCCCCACCCATCTCTGGCCAGGCCTCCCTCTCTCCTCCCTTCTGGTCTGGGGATGTCCGGCGGGCCCAGCATGGCTGCCAGGAGTCCGTGGCACCATCTTCCCTCTGTCTAGCACCTGTGCCCAGCAGCTGGGTCATGGCCAGCAAAGGCCACTCTGCCCTGTGACCTGCCCAGTGAGGGGGCACGTCAGCGTCAGGCTCACTCGGGACCCTCAGCACCCAGGCTGGCCTGCACCCTGCCAAAGGAGTTCTCAGTCCACCAAGCTGCACCCCCGCCCCCCACCACCCCATTGGGCAGAGGCCCCAGCTGGCAGTTTTCTGGCCTCCTCCCAGCCCAGTGCCTGCAGAGAGGGCTTCTGCATACCCTCAGAATGCCAGGCACATGGCCCAGGCGGGGAGTGGGGGTGCAAGAAGGGCCATCCTGAGGTGCTGGGCTGGAGGAGCACCCCAGCCAAAGAGGACTGAGAGGGCAGCCAGGAACCCAGAGGGTGGGGCTGCTGCTGGTTCCTCCTGCTGTCTGTCCCCAGGCAGAAGGGTGTGCGAACAGGTGAGACATTGCGGCCGGGGAGAGAGGGGAACAGGAGCCGGATGTGGAACCAGTGAGGGCAGGCACCGAGCGTGAAGCGGCCTCGGGCGCGGGGAGTGTGTCTGCTGGACGGAGACTCCTCCTCACTGGGGGCCTAGGACCTTCCCGAAACCTCTTCGGGACGCACCCAACTCCGCGCTCCGGACGGGGAGGGAGAACGCTCCGCCCCCAAGGCCTCCCCAGAGGGTCCATGTTTTCTTCTTCTCCTTTTTTTGTACACATTTTGATCTTTACAGTCTGAAAGGTGAGAAATAACACATCCCAGTGCATCTGGCTTTGTACTTCCTTGGTGATGAGTGAGGGGCAGCACCTTGAAAATGGGCGAGACGTTAAGGTGTCTTCTTTCCACGAACTCCGCCGCTGTCTCCGCCCCTTTTCTCCCGACCGCTCCCTTTTCCCTCTCTGTAAACTGGAAAGGTTTATGTATAACCTTTGGTCTGGGACCTGCCTAGCAGGTGGTTTTCCACTGTTTTCTTCGTTTGACTTTGCTGGTTGTGATTTTGCTTTTTTAACCAGGTCGTGTTTTTACACTTTAATGTAGTTAAATTCATCCTTGAAGAATTTTATGGCTTCCAGAGTACAATTTAGTAGCTGAGCTCCACTCTGAGGTTATGGTAGAATTCTCTGGTGTCCTCTTCCAGGATGTTTATGGGTTTATAGAAATAATTGCATTAATAATACAGTCATAATATAAATTTATGAACCTGCACGTTAAAATATATGATATCGCCTTGGGCGGGTGACTCAGCTGGTTGGAGCGTCGGCACGTACACCCAAAGCTCAGGTCGTGGGTGGAGCTCCTGGTCAGGGCACACACCCAGGTTGTAGGTTCAATCCCAGGTCAGGGCACGTACAGGAGGCAACTGGTCGATGTATCTCTCTCCCCTTTCTTCTCTCTCTAAAATCAGTGAACATATATCCTTGGGTGAGGATGAAAAAAATAAAAATAAAATATATCAATACATACACAAATAGTGAATATGCAAATAATACAAATGTCTAGATGTATCCTACTTATATGTAAATATAGTAAAACATATAATATATAAGATGTCATGTTAAGTGTTTACATGTAAATAGTATCCCATTTAGAATGTATCCCGGCGACAAGATGGGCTCTAACTTGATTTTTTTCTGGACGACTACTCGGCTGTTCCAGTTCCACTTGGGAATAATTTACCTTTGCTGACGCCTGCGTTCGGAGCTGTTTCTGTTCTGTGCCGATTGTCTGTGGGTCCTCAGGCACAAGTACTGCCCTAGTTTAATCCCTGTGGCTTTCTACGTGTTTTCAATGTAAGATTTTTTTCTAGCTGTGCCTCATGCCTGGTTGTCTCTTATTTATAAACTTTGGAATCAGCTGAGTTCCAAATTTCAAAACCGTCCTCTTGCTATTTTTATTGGGATTGCATTAAATTTAGAGGCTGACCTAAGAGCAAGTGGCGTTTTTATGATGACGATGCTCTCTAGCCAAGAAGGCGGGCCACTTTTTAAACAG